TCTCTCTCTCTTTTTTCTGTCTGTCCTGGACTCTGGACACTACCTCGAGGAATAAAGCCTGCTATAGGCCCAGGAAGGAGGAAACAAGAAACAGTCTCAGAAACAGGAAGTGAGTTGCCTAAAGACATACAGCACGTAAGTGGCAGGGCCAGAACTTGGTAGGCCCCCTGGGTTGGCTCCTGGACTTCTGTCTGAGCTTGGTGAGAAGGGGAATGATGACCTTCTGCTCCATTCTTCTCCCCAACCCTCCACCATCTTCTCTTCCTCCAGCAGCATGGAGCACATCAGTGGGGGAGGACCTCGCCCGACTTTCATTTCACAGATGAGAAAATAGGCACCCAGTGTTTCTGAAGACCAGCAACTGCTAGGACAGTCTTCGTGGGAACCCTTACCTGGCCGAGAGGATCAACAGTGCCTTCTGCAGGGCACTTCTCTCCATCCAGAAGGGCCACCAGGACCTGGCTGATATATTCTCGGACTGCATGAAATCCTCTATTGCCACCTACTGGCAAAGGATGGAACTATACCTGGCTGTATTAGACACTGAGAATGGTCCCAAGAACAGTGACTAGAATTCCTGGGGGAGGAAGAAGGACTTGGGGGTCGGGGGTAGCCACAGGGAAGAAAGGGAGAACTTGTAAAATTCTGTAACAATGAACATGTTTGTGGCTAATCGATACATTAACATTCACACCCAGCAAGCTTCTTGGTATGCTAACTTAAACCTCTGAACTTCACATGTTTTCAAGTCATTCTATGGGTGGATTCTCTTCTGCATTCCCACAGAAATGCAACTGGGACTATATCATTGGAAAATTGGATTTGGTTTACACAAGCTTGCCTTGGAGACTCCATTTCCAGAGATTGGGCCAAACTGAGTTTGTTTCCTTTATAATGATACTGTTATGCCTTGTTAAATGGAAGGTGGGTACAGAGGCTGATGGACTGACAGCTAAAGTGGCCCCAATATTTAGCCACTGATCCTCACCATGGAGTCTCTCTGATGGGTTAAATAAAGAAACCTGTAGAATTGTTTCCAGAAGCCACAATCTGGGGTAGTAAAGAATCTTACAAAATTCTAAAACTAGTCTTCTATATTTTCAAGGATTGCTTGCCATGCAACTATTTACTAAAAACATCTAAATGGCAATATGAAGCCCTAGGCTGGAAAGAGGGGAACTTATCATTGCTAGGGAGCAGGCAACATTTTAAGGGGCAAAGAAGGACATTCAAGGGATGAAGCAAGAAACGGGTGCACACAATCCCTTCACTGAGCAAATGCTCAGTGCCAGGTGCTCTCATGTCATCTTAAACCAGAAGTCATGAGGCTGGGGTGAGGGTCCAACAGGGAGAGAATATGGGCTGAGTGGGGGGTCAGGACAGTAGAGATAGAGGGGACATGGCAGAAAGAGGAAGGAGGGATGGGGCTGTGGGGGGAAGGGAGAGTGTGAGAACAGTGCCTGAGGTCTGGCCTGGTGGTATCTAATTGATTCATTAATTAAGGGCCTCGAATGCGTGTCTGAGGGGCTGAGACTTGTCCTAGGGGTACTAGCAGACCATGGGAGGGCATGATCAGTGAAGCAGCGAGGTCAGCTCTGGTGTCAGAAAAACCCCAATGATGGACTAGAGGAGGGACACTGGTGGCTGGGAGGCCAGGGAAGAGGCTGGGCTGATGGTCCAGGTGGAAAAGGATGAGGCTTAAGCTAGGGACAGGACCATGGGGACAGCAGTGAAGGGATGAGGCCAGGAGGAACTGGAGGGATAGAAATGATGGTGTGCAGAGGGATGTCATTGGGGCAGAGCCGCACTCTGGTCTGTGAAGGTGGGTAGGTGGTAGCACCACTCACTTGAATAAGGATCCCTTGAGGAGCACCCAATCTGGGCAGGTGGGAGATGCATCCTGGGGAAGGAGCCCAGGAGGCAGATAGGGCTGTGGGTCTAGAGATGAGGAGAGTGGTCTGAGCTGCAGATAGGTTTGGGAACTGTTAATGAAGAGGGGCTGTTTGGAACCTCCAGTGCAAAGGGTTGTGGCTGAGACCCAGAGTGGCAATGGGGCAGCACACATCACAAGCACACACACACCCTTTGTCCCCCAGCAAGTCCCCATCTCGCCACATTCCGCAGATACATGCACATGTGCAAAATGATGCAGGAAGGTGGGAATTCCTGAAGCGATGCTTGGAACAACCCAAAGATCCACCAAAACAGAACCCATGAAATAAACTCTGAGCCATCCATATCATGGAATGAGGGTGTACTTTATATCAGAAATGGAAAGCTCTCCAACTTACATCAAGTGAATGGGAAAAAAGCAAGAGCAACACACTCTTGCAAAACTACGTGTGCCCTTGCTTGCGACGTAGAGAACATCTCCAGAACAATGATCAGGTGACAGAAAACTCAGGCTGCCCCTAGGGAGGAGAACTGGATGGCTGAGCAAGGACAAACGGAAGGCTTTTTGCTGTGGACCCTACTGTATCTTGTCAGTTTTGTACCAAGTGCCTGGAGACCCTGTCAATAAGACAAAAGAGTGAACAAGCTCTTCAGCCACAGGCAAGAGTCAGAAGAAAGTTTAATAAGAACAGAGCCCTGGGGAGCCTGTAGAATCTCAGACACTGAATTCACAATACACAGAATTCACCACAGAGTAACTGACAACTTGAAAGCAATCAGAAGTCTTAGAGAGAAAGAATGTAATCAGATACATAAAGATCCCAAAGCACAATCCATTAAAAAATAACCAGATAGGGCCGGCCCGGTGGCGCACTGGATAGTGCGCCGCTTGGGAAGCGCGGCGGCGCTCCCGCCCAAGGGTTCGGATACCACATGCAGACCGGTGCCCGCTCACTGGCTGAGTGAGGCGCGGGAGCAACGCCGAGGGTTGCAATCCCGTTGCTGGTCCCCGGTCTGGTACGGGGGCAACACTGAGGGTTGCGATCCGTTGCCGGACACGGAAAAAGACAAAAGACAAAAAAAAAAAAAATAACCAGATAGTCCTACAAATGACTGGGAGATGGGGCTGGTGGTTAGCTCATTTGGTTAGAGGCGGCGTTGGTAACACCAAGGTCAAGGGTTCAGATCCCCATACTGGCCAGCTGAAAAAAAAAAGACCGGGCCTGGGGGAGAATGCATCTACAAATTAGACAAAGTGTCAAGAACTCTTTTTTTTTTTTGTCTTTTTCCGTGTCCGGCATCGGATCGCAACCCTCAGTGTCGCCCCCGTACCGGACCGGGACCGGCAACGGGATCGCAACCCTCGGCGTTGCTCCCGCGCCTCGCTCAGCCAGTGAGTGGGAACCGGTCTGTATGTGGGATCCGAGCCCTCGGGCGGGAGAGCCGCCGCGCTTCCCAAGCAGCGCACTATCCAGTGTGCCACCGGGCCGGCCCGTCAAGAACTCTTTAGACAAAGTGTTAAGAACTTTTGAGCTGTGAAATCCAGTGCGCCACCGGGCCGGCCCGTCAAGAACTCTTTAGACAAAGTGTTAAGAACTTTTGAGCTGTGAACACTTTCCAAAAAAACACCAATCCTTGTTAGCATAGTGGTAAGAAAAAAAAAGAAAAAGAAAAAGCATCAGTAAATACCCCTGGGATAATCTAGGAAAAGAGAAAAGTGGACTTCACATGGAATGAAGACAGCAAAAGCACAGCACATGTTACCTCTTGTTGGTGGAGAGAGAAACAGAACCACCCCAACCCTGGGACACCGCTTTATGCACTGAAGCTAAAAAAAAACCTTGTAAAAAGATAACCCCCAATGCCAGTAAGCATGTGACACAACAGATACCCTCATAAATATTGAGAAAATGTAAATTGGCCAGACCCTTTGAGACTCTTAGGGTGGGGGTGGCAGGCCCCTGGGGGTGGGCTCTGAGGCCCTCAGCAAGACCCAGAAAACAGAGGAAGAACTTTCAGACCTGAGAAACTTCCTCACATGTGAAGCACCAGAAGAACCCCGAGGAAAAGGAACTTCAGAACATACACGCTGGCGCTGAGCAAAGAACAGGAACAGCTCTCAGAAAACAACAATGGCGCAAACGCGCTCCAGCCCCGCTCCTGGCAATGAAGAGTACAACACCACCGTGATACCTTTTCTTAACCTATTAGACTGGCCAAAACCCAAAAGTTTGAGAACACAATCTGTCGGCGAGGCTGTGGGGACACAGTCCACTTTCATAGGACTGGAGCAAAGGGTCACCCCGTGGAGGGTGACTTGGCAGTACGGATCAAATTTACAAGTGCCATTTTCCTTTGCTCCTGCAGTCCCAGCTCTGCGGTTTTATCCCAGTTATGTATCTTAATCGGTCAGTAGAGGACTTCCTGGTGGGACCCTGGCAAGTAAAGATCTCTGGAAGCACAGAGAGGAAGGAAGCTCTCTGGACCCTGGCAAGTAAAGATCTCTGGAATACACAGTGCCAAGCAAATAAGCAAGCACAGGACGGCGCACAGAATTTGCTACCTCTATGTTACAGGAAAGGAAAGTAATACACATTCACATCTCTTCCTGCTGGCATGAAAACACTCTAAGGAGGGAAAACAAAAAACGAATAAAAGTGATGGGAGGGAACAAAACTTTCCACGTGCATCTTCTCATCCTGTTTTGACAGTCGAGTCACAGGAATGCATAAAAACGCTTCCGATCTGCCACAGTAATTCCACTTTCAGTCACGCGCCCCAAGGAAATCATTCAAACTCACACCAAAGATGGGATGGCCACATTCGCTGTAGTCCTATTTATAACCACATAAAGCAGGAAGCAGGCTAAATGCTGAACATTCTGGGAACGGTTTAATAAACTGCCATACAACACAGCTGAGCATTACACAGTAATTACGATGACGGCCATTTTTTTGGTTTCTGAATAATATATTAAGTGAACAGCGGAATTCAACAAAGCCTGTACACCATAGCCATCGTGGAGTCAAAACAGCAGTTGCACTTGACTGCTAGAAGCAGTAGCTTTTCCAAACATCTACGCATTTCAATATATCAAATGACGGCCATTTTTTTGGTTTCTGAATAATATATTAAGTGAACAGCGGAATTCAACAAAGCCTGTACACCATAGCCATCGTGGAGTCAAAACAACAGTTGCACTTGACTGCTAGAAGCAGTAGCTTTTCCAAACATCTACGCATTTCAATATATCATCAATGTTTTTAAATAGACAAAAGGCGCAGGGGTTGGGGGAGGGTATAAACAGCAAAGGCCCAGCACTGGCAGTCCTCTCCTAAAGTCCCAGGCTGAGCCATGGCAGAAATTCTATTTATATCATCTGGCCCTTGATTCCACTAACTCAGTTTTTTGTTTGTTTACTTTAAACATCCTTTTTCTTCAAGGCCTATGGTGGTCCAGGAGCCCTGAAGGAAGGGATGTTTTATCTGCACTGGGCAAGTGAGGTTAGACCAAGAGCCTGGCTGGGAGGAGAAGTCCAGCCCAGGGTGCAGTGGCCAGCCCACCTGGAGGTGGAGGTGGCTCAGGCACCCTCCAGGGAAGGCAGACGGGAGAGTACAGTGTCAGACGACAGAGGGGGAAGCCATGGGAGCCTGGACAGAGCATCGATCCTGGCTGGGAGCAGGCAGCATGAGAAAACTATCACCACCCCCGCCCTGGCTCCCAGCATCCGGTGCTCCTGACATCATAAGGAACTGAAAGGCACAGAGACTGGAGAGAACTCGGCATGTTCCCAAACTGCAGGGTTTTGGGCAGGTGTCTAAGGGAGACACGAGGTCAGAGCTGGCACAGTGGCCCAGAAGCTTAGACTCTCCCATGGGCAAAGGGAAGACCCTGGGGCTGCAGCAGGGCTCCAGGGGAGGTGGGACTGCAGCAGACATGGGTGCCAGTGTCAAAGGGGCCTGAACCAGCCACTCTTCCACCAACAGTAACACAGACGTCCAGAGGACAAGGGGCTCTCCCAGGTGGCCAGATGGCTCCTGGGGAGGGGGCGTCCTTCTACCCTCATGTGATGGGGAGATGGGAGGGGTCAGCAAATCCTTCTTGGCATAACTAAGGACACAGAGAATTCTGAGCAGGAAGGGAATCCCCTGGGTGAAAGAGGCCAGAACACTAACCAGCCCCAGTCCCCTCACCGGCCACTGCCTCCTCCACCACCACCCCCACCACCACCACCACCCTGGCCCCCCGCATCTGGCGCTCCTGACATCATGAGGAACAGGACAACAGGAATGATGTACATCCACTGTGGGCAGACAGGAGATAGACAGACAGACACACAAGAGAGACAGAGAAAAGGAGGTGAGTGTGGGAATCGCTCTGCCCAGGGTGGGGAAGGTGGGGCCCGGTGTGGGGGAGGGACAGTGTGAGGGGAGGAGGCCCAGGTCCCCTACAGTCACTACAGGTGGGGGGAGGGCCAGCGGGGTGCAGGGAGGGGCAGAGGCGGGAGGGGGTCTCGGTCCTCACTCAGGCCTCCTGCGGCAACGGCGTGGGCCCCGGGGCAGTAGGACGCAGGGCTGTGAGCAACACAGCCCCCCCCAGGATGAGGTGCCACTGAGGAGGAGGGGGGGTGGAGGTCAGTGGGGTCCTGCAGCCATCAGGGAGGGGGGAAGACCCTCAAGCAAACAGGAGGGCACAGCCAAGGTAGACAAGCTCTTGGCCTCTCTGGACCTCAGTTTCCCTGCAGCTCAGCTGTTAGGCTATCCCAACATGAGGAGCTACTGAGGCTCTTGGGGTAAGGCACTCTGCAAAGGAGGGCTCAGGAATCATGGGCCATCAGCATCCTCCCACCCTTGTTTGACAGGCCAACTGACCTCCAGCTGTCCCCTGCCTTGCCTGGGGGCCTGTGCCTAACAGGGACCAGAGGCTTGGAGGGAACCATCCTTCTCTAGAGGAGCTGCCTCCTACTGCCCCAGGCCTCAGCCTCAAGGCCCCTCAGCTCACACCTGCTTCTGGTGGTACAGGCTCTTCCTCCCGAGTTCTAGGCGGGCCTCCTGGGCACCTTCACCCAGCACCCTGCAACCACAAAGCCCCTCCACGGGGCCACATGCCTCCCAGACCCGGCTCCTTGGCTCCTCTCTGCCTGCCTGCCCAGCCTCCTGGAGCCGCCTCCCACTCCATCCTTTCCCAGCATTCCTCGTTCCTTTTAATTCTCTGCCTTAGCTCTTCCTCTCCAGCCTCACAGCTCCAGCCTGGCTCAGGTCAAGGCCTCTCCCCAGATCTTCATTCAGGCCTCCAACCCGTGCCCAGAGCTAGCCAGCCCTCCCCGACTACACCCCCCACATTGCTCTTCCTCCAAACAATCCTCCAGTCAAGGCTGTGACAGCTGTGCCTATGTCTGCCCCAGCCTGGAACCCAGGGTCCAGGTTGGCTCCTAGCACTGCTGAGCTCTGGGACCATTTTCTTGAGCTGGTGCGGGCAGGGCAGGGATCGTAGGGCATAGGGCTCCACAGCTCTCAGCCCCTTCCATCCAGGCCTGGATTCAGCCCAGGTCCCAGGGGACGTGCATGGAGGCATCAGGAAAACAAGCAGGCCCCACACGCAGGAAGCCAGGAAGACAAGGCACAGGACCGAGGGCAAGGGAGAGGGCAGGGAGCTCTGGATGGAACGGGGTAGAAGAAGGCAGGGGGAGCCCCACTCACATATTTGGCAAAAAAGGACTTCTGTTCCTGGGGATTCTTGGCCTTCTGTGCCTGCTCCATCTCCAGGCGCTCAATGAAGGCTGCTGTCTCGGGGCTGCAGGGCGAGTGGAGGGAAGAAAAGGGGGTAAGGGGCTGGAGTCAGGGACCCGGAGACCCTGAGGCAGACAGGAAGAGCAGGGGGAGGAGGCCAGGACCATAAGCCAGCAGGGACAGCAGTGAAGGTAGCAGAGAGATCCCTCCCCCACACCTTGAGCCCTCACCCTGGGGCCGTGACTGGCGGCTGCAGCTGCACTGAAGTATTGAACAGCTCTAGGTCCACGTCCTCCACCTCGTGTCCTCGGCAGCCCCCAGGGTGTGTCACCACTGACACACCCACCACATTGCCAGCCACATCCACATGCAGGGTCAGCTCGTCCGAGAGGTGTGACTCCATCAGGGAGCACTGATGGTGGGGAAGAATGTCAGGAGTGGGGAAAGCAGGGGCAGCTGCCCAGGCTCCCCTGCCAGCCTCTTGTCCCCTCTCACAGGACCCCCAAAGCATGTTTTAAAACCTTCCCGTACCTCCCTGCCAACCTCAGGCAGAAGCCCAAGTTCAATTGCATCCCCAGTGTCCCCACAATGCTGCCCATTAAAGCAGCCACCACACTGGGGAATGAATAGTGGATGCAGGACTAAGGCTGGTGGGAGGAGCAAGGAGGGTGGCTGGTCCTTGCCACCTTACCAACTCACCGCGGGAACAAAGGAGGAGACATAGCCTCCAGCTTCTGGGCCATCAGGGGCCCCTGGCCGCCGTGGGACCCGGACACGGTACAGACCATTCAGGGCTGCCACATCCTGCAGGGCGGGCAGAGGAGGGTGCTGGTGAGAAGAATGGAGTCCAGCCCCTGCCAGGCCATGACCCCCCACCAGGCCCAGCCAGGGCCCCAGTCTTGCCCACCTAGCATCCTGCACTCCTGCCTGCCCACGACTCTTCCAACTGGGATGGCTCGGCTGGTGGGTGAGGCCAGGAGTGGCTGGGGCCATCCCACCTGCGGGAGAAGCCACCACAAGGAGAGTAGAGCCCAGCCCAGTGACAGAGTGAGTCCCAGGGACATCTTCCCTGTGCCTGGATCCAGCCACACCTGGTGCCTGTCTCATGCCTGCACTCCCCAGTTGCATGGGCATTAAGTTCTCTGGGGGCAGCTGCGACAGGGAATCATGTGGGCACCACGCAGAAAGGCTGGCCGGAGCAGACCTCACCCTCACATGTTGCACAGGGAGAGTGCCTGTGTGCACACGGCTGCCACAATAAGGCGAGTTTCCCAGCCTCCCCCCGCAAGGAATAGAAATGGAAGCGGATGGTGCCAACTCTTGTGAGCTTTTCCTAAAAGATGTGGCTCCCTCTACCCTCCTCTACCCAGCTCCCTGGAGCCCCAGAGCCTCCCTGCACCATCCCTAAGGAGGTCAGGCCCTTGAGGAGGCATGAAGCAGAGCTACAGGAGAAGAGACCTCTTGTTTAACCATGACTATTTTGGGGATGTCTTTCTCCTCACAACCAAATGTGAGTATCATTCTAAATAATCGTGAAATGTTTCGGCTAAATCCAGAAGGGTGAGAGGTGTCAACCATCTGAAACATTTGGGGTTAGAGGGTGTGCCAGGCAGAGGGAACAGCACAGGCAAAGGCCCTGAGGCAGGCATGTCATGCTCTGGGGCACTAAGGCTGACCATGGCATCATCCAGCCTAGGGTGGTCCTCATGGGACAGAGGAGGAGGACAGCACAAAGAGCTGGATCTCATCTGGACCTGGAAGGAAGGCTAAATGGGGGGCCACAGAAAAGCAGATAGAGAGACTGCTGGATGCCACCCATCCCCCAGCCCAGCCCTAGGGTCCCCACCTCACCCTGAGTCGGCCCCGCTCCTCTTCACTGAGCTGCCGCTGTGACAGGGACAAGGTGCCATCCTGCTGGTTCCACAGCAGTGAGCCCCGCTTCTGGAAGTGGGCGCTGTCATCTGTGGGGATCCTGGGCTCAATGACCACTCCTTGCTTCACCCTTCAACCTTGGCAGGTGCTGGGAAACCTGGTTTCAAATCTCAGCCAGGTCTCCACCCAAGAGTGATCAGGTTGCTTCTGCATCCTTAGACTCCATTTTCCCATTTGCAAATTAAGAGACAACCCCACCATGTTCTGCCCTCCTGCCTCACAAGGCAGCTCACAGCAGTCACGTGAACCCCAGAGCTCCCAAGCCCTGCCGTTGTCTTGCCAGGTGACTCACAAGCAAATATGAGTATCATCATCCTAACTGATCATAAAATGTTTCGGCTGAATCCAGAAGTGTGAGAGGGGCCAATCATGTGAAATGTGTGGGGTGAGAGGGTGTGCCAGGCAGAGGGAACAGCACAGGCAAAGGCCCTGAGGCAGGCGTGTCATGCTCTGGAGCACTAAGGCTGACCATGGCACCATTCAGCCTGGGGTGGTCCTCATGGGACAGAGGATGAGGATAGCAGGAAGAGATTGAGACTTAGTTTCCCCAGCTGCAAAATACAGGGGCTGCAGAGCTCTGGAGCACGTGTGCCAGGCAGAGGGAACAGCACAGGCAAAGGCCCTGAGGCAGGCATGTCATGCTCTGGAGCACTAAGGCTGACCATGGCACCATTCAGCCTGGGGTGGTCCTCATGGGACAGAGGATGAGGATAGCAAGAAGAGATTGAGACTTAGTTTCCCCAGCTGCAAAATACAGGGGCTGCAGAGCTCTGGAGCACCCAATCATATGGCTGTGTCAGAATCAGTAGACTTGTACACTGGGCAGAATCTGACTTAATAGGTCTGGGGAGGGTCCCCAGCTTCAGGGTTTGTAAAAAGGTTTGGGAAACTCAGACTTGATTAGTAACCACTGCATAGCACTGACATCTGGCTCTGGGAACTTGGACGCTTGTGTCATGGCAGTTTAAGTTGGGCTTTGGAGCTGATTCCAGCTCTGCCATTCATTTACAAAGGGACGCTGTGTGGTACCTACTCTAGCCTCAGGTTCCTCTTCTGGAAAATGGGGCTAACACTAACATCTACTGCCTTGCATGACTACTGTAAGGGAAGGAAGAAAGGGAGAGAGGGAGGGAGAGAGTGAGTGTGTCTGGCCGGTATGGGGATCTGAACCCATGACCTTGGTGTTATAAGGCTGCGCTTTAACCAATTGGGATAACCGGCCAGTCCCAACATTTGAGTTAATACAAGCAAAGCATCCAACCATTAACGCAGGGCACACAGCGACTGGTCAGAAGTCTGCTCTGAAATCATTACTGCTATGCTGACCTTTCCGAAACTGGATTTGTCTTATAGGTATGGGGACATTTAAAGGAAGTGTTTCTCTTCTCCTATGTCCCCCTCTCCAGGGCAGAGCTATTAATAATTCGATGGCATGTCTCACACTTGATGGCACCCGGACCACGTAAGTGCCCAGGGGAGGATGTTGCTGGACTCACCAATCTCGAACGAGTGCTCCAGCAGCAGCCCTACTATGCCACAGCCCTCACCCTCTCGGCCTTCTGCTCCGGTCTGCAGGAGAGATAGAGAACTTGAGGTGAGGACCCACAGACCCCAGGACAGACGGACTGGCGGGCTGAGGGAGGAGCCTTATTCATGACTTGGACTCTTGCCCCAGAAAACCAGCCCGTACAAACACGACTAACCTCGTTTCCAAGGCAACTATCCCCAGGTCACTTTCATATCTTGCACCATAAGTATTCATGAGTTAAAGGACACTCTCCCTGTCCAAGGGCTTCATTTCCATGCTGATAACCAAATGACCTAGTTTTCACCTAACAGCCCCAACATCCAAGATGCGGCCTGAGTTGCACCCCTATCAAGCACATTCAAGACTGCACGCCTTCCTTTTCTCCAACTCTCCAAATTTCTTCTACCTCTCCATCCTCCACCTACCCACGCCCTCGCACCTGCGCGACTTCGTTTCCACATTAAAGGATTCCGTGAGCTCAAGGTTCCACCCCCTCATGCATATTCACGAACTGAACGCCTCTCTAATACCTTGAGCACCAACCCCCCTTCTTCATTTTAACCTCTCCGACGTCTGATTCCCCAAGATTCCATCTGGGACACACCCTCTCATGCATATTCACGACTGCGGTCCCCTTACGTTCGCAACTCGCCCAACCTGCCCCTTGGGCGCCGCCTCATCTTCGCCGCACCGAACGCCCGGGAGCCAGGATTCCGCCCGAGCCCGCCCCTCATGCATACTCACTAGCTGGAGCCTTCCGAACTATCCCCTCGCTGTCTCTCCCACCCCTGCGGCCCCGTGCCCGGCCGACACCCCTCCTGCGCGTGCATCACTGCAGTCCGGCTCTCCACGCTTCTCCCGTGCCCTCTTCCCTCTCGGCCGTGCACAGCCTCGCTCCAACCTAAACGCACCTAAAGACCCCTGACCCACGACTTCCGTCGGCCTCGCCCACCGTGCAGAACTAATGAGCGCTCACCCCCCGCGCAGCGGCCCCAGCTCGGCACCCGCTGCCCCGGGCCCGGCTGGGCA